ATACTAATCCCATCCGTAAGCAATAAAATGCAATAGAAAGAGTAAAAGTATAACCATATCCTAATTTTTTCAATATCTTACCTAAAAGGAAATAATAATAATTATTCAAATTAAAGGGGACACCGCGTCGATGAATTTGATCCTGACATATGTTATCAAAGTCATCATTGAGGGAATTTCAAAAGGTTACTGGTCATTATTAACACAAAAAGTTTAAAAAATATCGTCTTATTTCTGCTAAATAGTCAATACAGCTCCTCCTCTGCTTAAATACTAGGGAGTAAACTTCACTTCTTATGGAAAGTTGTACATTCCTAAGCAGGAAGGGGAAGTGTGGAATAAACCTAAAAAAAAGTGAAGAGAGAGAGAGAGAGAGATTAAATATTATAATGATATTTTAATTCTAAATATTGTAGAAACTATATAAAAGATTACTTAGTTGTTAAGGCAAAGTTAGTAGGATTATAATCTTGACAACTTATGTCAAAGTCAAAGTCATCGACGTTTCTTAATCCAAATACATAATTGCCAAAAAATTAAATATTTTTAATTATATAATCGCCCCATTTATAATAAATCATAATAAAGTAGTATTTAATATAATACCGGATAAATGCATAAATGTTGCACAACTAAGAGCTTCTGTGCCTATTGTTACACCTTCTATTAATTTAATTTTGTCCATATAACCGGTTTTTATAGCAAGATCTTCTTCATACCTAATAAAATTCATTACTTGAACATTATGAACATTAAAAGTTATAACAGATAAGAAAAAAAAACGTAAGACAGTAATGCGTAAGATGTAAGCGAATTAATCGTTCAAAACAGAAAACGTAAAATAACAATATAAGCTTTAACAAATTATCTTAAATTTAGCGACGAGTGTAAACATGTACATTATAATGTCTATATGTATTTAATTAATTATCTCTTGATATTGGGTTTGCTTTGATACATTTGACGAGAACCCCGACATCAATTCTGTCAATTTTGCTTTCCATGTTGTCAAATACTGCAGATCTCATTACTCGCGATACACTGACATTTAAAATCTCATAACATGTATTGCAACCGTTATTTCTTGTCTCTTATTAGTTGGTGCACATCTCCAGGACTTATTTAGCGTTAAAAAATGGGAATTGCCGATTTTGTTACAACTTGTGTTTTATGGATTAAAGTAAGTTTAAGGACGGATATGACGCCACCAAGCGCTTAAAGTTTAACGCTTACGTCCACTTAAAGCAAGGTTGTGAACCGAGCATTAATTTGCTTACATCTTATTGCTTCAGTTTTTTTGTGTATCATAGCTTCAAGCCCGCTTAAATTCTTACGTCCAAATTTTAAATAATTTTGAAATACAAAAATATATTTCAATAATGATATAAATTTACCAAAACAGAAAGGAAATCATGTAACCATCGAAAACGCCGCAAATGGTATCAAAACACACAAATATAACAGTAGATTTGAATTTTAAAAGCGTACATACATCTGTAAATATATTTGGCGATCTTGATACAAGAGGCAACTGTAACAAGAATACATAAAAAAAGTATAGGAATTAAACTACATATTTCTAATTATAAATGTTTTTTTACTTTTTTTTTTTTTGGTGCATTGTAAAATTACCTTCAGTTTTTTGCAGCAAATTAAATCTATACAAGTAAGTATAAACACAAGAAGAAATGCTGATGTGTAAGTTTTGTAAATCTTTCCTTGAGACCATATATCGATTGTACATCCAGTTAAAAATCCTGCCAAACCGAAACCAATTTCACCCCATACATGCTGCCTACCATATTTCATTTCCTCACCTTTACCTAAAAAGTAAACAAATTTATTATCATAAAACAACCCACATGTGCGTGCGCGCACGCATTCACATATGCACGCGTTTTTTCTTTTCTATACAATGATATGATAATCATATAAAATATAAAATATAAAAAATATATAAAAACATTTACAGTAGGAATTTATAATTTATATACATGTTTTATATTTATATTATATTAAATAGATTTAAGGAAAGAAAAAATTATAAAATTATTTACCTAATATCTCAAAACAGATTGCGCTGGTCAAAGTCAAAGAAACAGAAGTACCTATACCGCCAAGAGACATTAAAAAGACAAATCCCCAGAACGTAATGGATGTATATAAACAATAATTATTTTCAAAACTATCACAGATAACATTACAATTATAATTTTCTTGGAATTCTTTTTGACATAATGCTGTATCATTAATATTTATTAAACAGCTAGTATTTGGTGAAATTATTGCATTCTTTCCAGTTGTGTACTGAAGAGACAGTGGTACAGAAAGATTTGTATCCTTGCATATCCAATGACATGTAATGCTTCTCGTATCCCCACATAATGTTGTTGAGGAATTCTTAAATAAATATAACTATTAAGGGGGGGGGGGGG